GCAAGGCTCCCCCTGGTCCCCTCCTCTCGGGGCTCTCCTTCTGCCGGTAGCGGGCCAGCTCCGGTGGAGGGTCGCAGCTCCCCGGATGAGGGCTAGGGGGGCACCCGGGGTGCCGAGCCCATCCCCAGGCTCTGAGGCGCCCGGAGCCGGGGGCGGACACATCCTGCTGGCAGACGCCTGCTCGCTCCCCCGCATCCCCCCTCCAAGGCCCCGCTCACCCCCGGCGCCCGTCCCGCTGCTGCCGTGGTCGGGCTGACTGCCCGGGGAGGGAGGGAGGGAGGGGGCGGCGGCGGAAGCCGGGCCGGGTGGCGGCTCCTCCCGGCCGCTGTGAATGGCGAGGAGCCGGGCGGGTTCCGGGCAGGCGGTGCTCGCCCCGTCCCCGGGGAACGGGGCTCCGGGGTAGCGGTCCTGCCGAGCCGAGGGGTAGGTGAGCATCCCTCGGCAGGAAACCTTTCGAGAGGGAAAGGGGATGCTGCCGCTTCATTTCCTTGCTGGTGAAGAGAAGCAAGGGAGGTGGAGCTCGGGGTAAATCCCAACGGCCCGTTAAGGGCAAACAGATTTCTGGGATGGCTTTTCGTGTCGCGGCGCCGGAATTTCCCTCAGGGACTTCAGGGGAGTCTCGTGATTGTGCCCAGCAAGAGTCCTCTGAGCGGAGAGCTCAGCACAGCTGAGCAGGTACGGCCGTCTCCTTGGCTTTGCCGGCACAGTATGCTAAAAGGGAGCGTTCGCTAACAGCAAAACTGGCCTCTGGGTGAGTTGAACTAAGCGGTGTATTTAAAGCCCAGCCTTGTAAAAGTCAGTGACCAAGCCAGTTGATTTAAAAGATCAGAGCAGCGGAAGACTTGTCTTTCTGGCTTCCATTGACATGAAATAGCTAGTTTGGTGGAGCACTGCATTGCAATTCGGCTTTCTGTATCGCTCCCTGTTTCAAGTCTGAAGTATTTGCAAAGCTTTGCAGTGGAAAGCCAAGGCAATTCTTGTGGTATGGAAAAAAAAGTGTATCTGTGGAAACCCAGAAATCTGCTTTACCTGAGCACCGCTGGGCCCTGTTGCCTGGGAGAGCCCAGGCTGGGATCCCACAGGGTCGGGACTGGCCTGTGCTCCCACCGACTGCAAGGGGAGGCGAGCGTGGTCAGCACTGCTCGACATTCACAGAATCGCACTGTTAGCAAGCACGAGAGCGCAATAGGAAGCTGCCGCTGAACAGGCAGGAAAGATGCTTTTATAATTGCGGTGAAATTCCAGCATAAGGCTGACAGTTCGTTTGCACACGAGTAGGTCTCTCGCGCTGATTCATTTTCATTATGTAATGAGGCTGAAAGCCCCTTTCCATTCACATCCTCTCCAAAATAGCTGTGCTGTGCATGTATGGACAGCTGGCATGTTCTTAAATGGACCAGAATAAAATGCCTTTTATCTACCTAAGTGTTCATGGAGGTTACAAATACTTTTCTGGCTGACAGCATGTATGAGTTTATGGATACAAGGGAAAGGAGAAAGGGTAAGTAAATAATAACCAGCATTATGGCAGAAACAATGGGAAGCCCACACTGTTCCTCACTGTAATCAGAAGTGAACCTGCAAAGAACTGGAAAAGCATCAGAGAAACCTTAATGGTGTGTTCCTTATGTCTCAGAGCTTCACTCATGGCACTGGAAATTTGTTCAGGGCTTGTACAAGGCCCACGCAGTGCCTCGTCCCCTGAGCCTTTTGAGTGGTCTGTCATGGGGTGGATGCCAGGCACACTGCATGTCATTAGGCCTTGCCACAAACACCTTTGGTCTTCTGCTGGAGGGAGGTCCTTAGCATGGCCTGGGACTGAGCCGATGCGGATCTCTACCCACATTCATCAGTGTGGCAGCTTCAGAGTTTGCAAAGACCCTGAGGAGAGTTTATACCAGGTGTCCTGGGTTCAGCTGGGATAGAGTTAATTTTTACAGGAACCTGGGAGGTGGGGGGCATAGCCGGGGCAGCTGACCTGAACTGGCCAAGGAGCTATTCCATACCATGTGACATCATGCTCAGTATATAAAGGGGGAGCGGGCCGGGGGGTGGGCTCTTCTTTTCGGTGGGGGAAGTGGCAGAGTGTCGGGTCCCGGGGGGTGAGCAGTTGCACTGTGCATCACTCTTTTTGTATACTTTTTCATTAGTACCGTTGTTGTTGTTGCAATTTCTTTGTGTTGTTCCAGTAAACTGCCTTTATCTCAACCCTCGAGGTTCCAGGTTTGGTTTTTTTTGTTTTTTTTTTTCTCTCCTCCGTCTTCCCCCCATCCCACCGGAGGGGGGCGGGAGGAGTGAGCGAGCGGCCGCGTGGTCCTTTGTTACCGGCTGGGCTGAAACCACGACACCAGGATATCATTCTTCAGAAAGTTTTTGTTGAGTTATGCTCCCGCTTAGCTCCCACAGGCAGGGGAGTGATGACATCCCTACTTCTTGTCCACTCTACCCTGACTGCAATGAGGCAGCTCTCCTTCAAACAATCACTTCTTTCAGTCCAGCACTCCCAAGGGGGACAATAGGGGCCATCCTTTCTACTACCCCTGTCACCAGATGAGCTCAGTGTCTTCCTATATATTTCTCTCCCCAGTTGAGCATGCCTTGCCAGAAGAGGAGTTAGAATTGTGTCCTGCTCAGTCGGCTAATCCCCTGCCCATGGAAGGATTTGGGTAAAATGATCTCATGAAGACCTGCCTGGGATGCTATAATTAATTCTGACTGCATCAGTCTACAGTTTGTACATCTATCAGAGGTGTGTGTGTGATGGTGTGCAGCACACTTGTGCTGGCAAATTCTGTCTGGATTTTTTGTTTTTCAAAGAGCCTCTGAAGACAGCACAGTCTCTTTTGTGAGTTAGGACGTATTTCAGTTTGGGTCTACAACATGAGATCTGAGAGATATTTTAGATGAACAAGTTCAAAGTTTTCAGCAAATGCAATGTTTTATTTATTATTATTTCTTCTCAAAGTATTAGAAATACTATTAAAATACAAAGGCAGAAAGTAATACAAATCAATAGGAAAAATATTGCTAACTATAGGTATGTATTTTGGGATTGATTTTGATCAAATGCAGCGTTCACGATGCAGCCATAATCTTGCTCAGGTATTCTGTCATCCAATACAACCCTGGACTGTCTCAAAAAAGAATCCCTTGATTTTGCAGCTGTATCCATCTTTCTTTTTCTTCTGTACAATGGAAAAAGAAAAAAAACCAAACACCTTTAATTTCTGTTCTTAGCTGTAGTGAGAGGTCAAATAATGGTGTGAACAAGCATTACGTCAGATTTTGGAGAAGCCCAAGTTTTGTGATAGTGATGCATATGCCCTGTGTAAAGGAAATGGCATATGTTCATTTCTGTAGAAGCTAAGTTTTCCCTCACATTCTTCAAATGACATCCTGAATGCTGTGGTTTCTTTCTGGTCCTGCAGGTATGTGATTAGTGGGAGTTTTGAGGTTTACAAGTGCTAAAAGTATGTGTCTTGACTCTGCTGAATGTAGCAAAGCTGGGAAAAGCCTTACCTGTACAGGTACACTGCAGAGGAGATGATAATGACGATAACAGCTACACCTGCCACAACTCCAACGACGATGGCAACTGTATGGTCCTCAGGGCCTCCTACAGGAGGCTCTTCAGCTGAAGAAGAAATAAGAGCCCTGTCAGTGAAAGCTAACCATACTGGGAACAGAGTTTTTTTCTCAACCCTTGCCTGTCCGCTTGGTTTACACCATATTCTCTGATGAATGTGGCTTTCTGGACTGGTGTCAGGCCCAGGTCCTGTATGCTCTACAGAGCCCTGCTGTCATGCCTTCTAGCACTGCTCCACTGGGGGATCTGACCCCTCCTTTCTGCTTGGATGACCACAGGCTCTCACCCCCTGGGTTACTAATTTACAGCATGGAAATGAAGAGCAAGCTCAGTCTTCTCTGTAATGATACCCATTTTTGAAAGTGGTGTGTGTAATGCAGGCAGTGAAATCCAGAATAGTTTTATTACCTATCTTTTCAGCCTCGCAGCTTGGTCCTGTGTACAGTTCTGAACATTCACAGTAGAAGTGGAGAGAGGTGGTGGTAGTTTCAGAGCAAACTCCATCATTCTTACAAGGATTTGGCATACATGGTCCACCTAGCAAAAAGGAAGGAGAAACACTTCAGACTCTCAGATAATCCAACCCTGACAGAACTGTTCTTGCTTAGATTACACTGACTTGTAATGGTGGACATCCTTATATTTTAAAGCGCATTTCTTGCACTTGACAACAGGAATCAGGGAAAGAAACACTGTTTCTGCAATGAAACATCAGAGCAAGATCCCCGGTATGCTCTTTTCTTCTGTACACTCTCTGTTGCAACTACCCCCAACCCAGTGATGTCCTATAAGCAGTAAGTCAAGACTTCTTAGCATCAAAGACAATGTGATAGTAGTTGACTCACTCCTGTAGCATCCACGACTGTAGTTTGAAATGCCACAGATTTCATCATATCCACACACTATGTTAGAACAGGAGACAGTGGAGCTTTCTGTGCATTGGCATCTCTGAGAGCAGTCATCAGTGGTGAATATTTCTCCAATCTGGAAGACAGCAGTTAAATATTAAAAATTATCAAATAAAGTCAGCCAGAAAAACCATGAATGGCACACTGGGGCCCCATGCTGCTCTCTCTGATGCCTTCCTGATGAATGGCAACAGGGCAGTTTTTTTGTTTGGTTTTTTTTTAGTGGTTTGTACAAAAAAGAAAGCAAACAGTTTGCTAATCCAGCTCTTTGAAACTCAAGGACAGACCAAGAAAGAAGGCAAAAGACGAGTTTGGGGTATGATATCCTAGCCCCAGGTGGGGTACATGTGCAGCCAACAATGTCTAACTGTTGCTGGAGGTAAGAGAGTGGCAGATGCATCACATCATGCCTCCAAGGAAATGTGGAAATGCTATGTGCTGTTTTTCTGGCAACTGCCACCTGTTCGTAGTGTCTTCCTCCTCCCATAAAACAATCTTTACTGGCTTAGGCCTTTTCTGTACCAAATTTCTGGTGTTAAAACAGAAATCTATGAGATTATGAAGCTGTTTATCCTGTAGCGACAATGGAGGATTCTCCATATTCCTCAGAATGCAGTCTTGCTTGGGGCTCTCTTCATGTCACAGCCAGACAGCCAGGCACAGACTCTCAACCCTGCCTATACCACTCTCCACTGAGAGGAGAGGGACCACAGTGACTGAGAGAACTTCTCTGTAACTAACTGGTGTGTTGTAAACTTTGGAGTCTATAAGGCTATTATTTAGCATAATAAAGGTGAAGAATTGACAGTGGAGGTCAGAGTGTTATCATATACTTTCAAGTGCCTGCCTTGAGTATTCTGGCAGGCAGAGTTTCAGAGCCAGACCAAGTGATCTACTCTCTCTTCCCTTCCTCCAGAGACCAGAATTTTATTAAACAATTGCTCTTTGTTTCTAATGCAAAATTACATGCTGAGGAGAATGAGGAAATTGTCAAAATAATTGGCAGAAGAAAATATTGTTTGGTGCTGTGGGAGCTGTCTGACCCACAGAGAAACTGTACCTCATAATATTTGTTAAGGTATGTGCAGCCACATTGTTTGTAAGGCACACAGTCAAAACCACTAAGAACATAGCCAGGGAGACATTCACAGCCTTCAACACAAGGTGATTCGCACTCAGAGGGGCTGGTCAAGTCGTTGCAGGATGCTGGGCATGCAGACATGCATGAGCTGTAGTTGCTGTTGGCAGGACATGATATACCTGTAAAAATAAAGGAGAGTCCAGTTATAGCAGGCTGCTGTGCATTACTTACACAATGCCCTTTGAGGTCCTGAGGACGTTACCATTTTGTAGGAGGCAATATGATGAACACACATACACAGGATGTGCATACATATCTAATAGTACTGAAGTTGCAAGTAAAGCACTCCAAAGTCAGGAAATGCTTCGTCAAAGCTATTTGTATGCTGTGCTCTCATTCTTGGTGTTCACTGATCTCAAATAACTTCTCACACATTCAGGGTAGCCATCCCTGCAAGTACCAGAGCTGTTTCACAACTCTGGGAGGTGTATTTCACCAGGAATACAAAGTCATCTAACCATGGGTGATGCAGGGGATGTACGGTTTGACGAATCTCCCAACTTGAAAAAAAAAAATTTAGGGAGAAAAGGTTTATGATTATTAGAAGTTTTATTTCAGCATTTTTTAGTCTGAAAGATTTGGAGTTTTCAGCTGAATCTTTTTTATCTTGAAATTTCACAGGCAAAAAAAGAGAATGAGTATATTTTGTAGATTTAAAAAAAGTTTGAAATAAAATGTTTTTCCTTCAGATTTGTGGCTTGTGATGGTCTCCAAAATTTTAACTTCTTTGCCCAGTTGGGAATGAGGACATTTTTTTCTCTCACAAAACTTCTGATGAAAAGGGAGCCGACAGTTCTGCTTTCCTAAGTAGCTTTGTAAGTTGGGGTCTAAATGTCAGCATAGGACACAGAAGAGAGACCAGAAGAGTAAGTGTGCATGCTAAATTGTGAACAGTGATTGAAGTGTGAATCAACATGCTTTTACTCCCTGAGAAGCTTTGATATATGGTGCGTCTAGAAAAAGCCTCAAATCTCAGACTTTGAGAGTTCTTTAGGCAGAAACCATACTTTCTGGTTCTTCCTATGCTTACCACAAACTGTCTGTTGCCTCCAGCCTTCCATACTGACTCCTTGCTGTTGACAATCCAGCACATATTCCTCCAGACTGCGACATAAGGTAGCATCCTCATCTCCTCCCACACACATATCAAACAGGCAGCTCCTATGTGCAACACGAGAAAGTGTTCATTCCCAGTACCTTTGTTATTGTTTATTTTCAGCTGCTTTGCTGCCTGAGTCTGAGTTAATTCTATTTTCCTGTATCTGGCTGACAGGAAAACAGAGGAATAAAAAAACTCCAGCCGCATGACTGGGAAGATCAGGTCATTTGGTGCGCAACAGCTGCTAACGTGAGAGGTATTCATATACGAACAAGCAATAAACAGGTACCTGACTGCTTGTCACAGTAAGTTATGCTTTGCCATCTGCTTCTTTTTTGGGCTAGCATGGCTGCATCTTGCTTATAGAGCACTTTTTAGTGCTGCTAAGTCTTATAGCTGGACTACACACATCTTTCAATACATGGGTGCCCTCCCCACGTCCATATGCCTTGAATATTGACATAGAATTCTGTTTTACCCAGTGTTTGCCAGTGCTACCTTCTCAGCTTTGCTCATCATCTGAATATCCATGGCCTGATTTTCAGAGGCACTGCGATCTGAGATGAATGGGATCTGCAAGTATGTGGCACCTCAGAAAAATCAGGCAACCACTAAGAAGGTAGAACAGGCTGCCCAACCAAATTCTAAAGTGAGGAGAAAAGTAGGCTTATGTTAAGAATCAGGATTTATTTATACATTGAAGCCAGTAGCCCAGTTTCTTTGGCTTAAGATACCTTCACATTCTTCTTTGAGGTGGGCATTATCTATCTTTAAACATTAGGCACAACTATATGACTAAACAAAACCGGCAGCTACTTGGCAATTTTGTGACTGATGATGGATAAATGATGAATGTGGGGATGAATCAACAGGTTTCATACAGCTCAAAGTTAGGTATGTAGGAATTGTATATGTAGGAGGCCAGAGCAGCCTTGAAACACAGCAGAGGGAACTTTCTTGAAGATACCAGGTTACTCTTCACTAATCTGGTTTTTTTTTGCAATTCTCCATGAAAGATTCAAGAAGTGTCACTGACAGCTTCAGCCTTTGTGGCTATAGCATGAAGGCTAGATTTTATGAAGCTGGAATTGCTAAAAGGAAACTAACAGAGCCAGGAACTAAATTCTCACTGAATGTGGATGAGAACTGTAAGCACGCTGGAGGTCCCAGCCTACAGGTATAATGCTTAACACTGCTACTTTATCTGTGTAGGAAAAGAGGAAAGCTACTTTCTAGAGCTAACAGAAAAGTGAAACTCTAAATAGATGGAAAGACAGATCATCACAATTATTTAAAAATAAATAAGGGGATTTAAATATATCAATAATGGAATCACTGGGCCCAGTTGTCTTACTATTCTCAGTTGCTATTAATACCCTGGAGACTGAAGATGCAAAGTTCTTGTCAGAAACTAGCGCCAAAATGATTTTGCAAATGGGGAGAACAACTGTCTGCAGTAGACACTTACGTGAAATAGAAATTTGGTGAGACTGTAGAATGACACTTTGCAAAAGGACCATTTGAGTCAGTCAGGATTTGACATCTCGAAGTTCTGTTTTCTTGCCCCAGCTGATTTTCATTGCAGCCTTGGAAGAGTCCTGGATCTGGTTCCTCCTCAGACACTTCTTTTGAGTTGACGTCTCGTCTGTAAATTAAGTCATTACAAAACCATCAGTTCTCTGTACATCCAGCATTCATGGTACTACTCTCTAAGTAACACCATAAGAGTACTTCTGCCTTGTGGTGTAAGTGTAAGCTTATTTCTTTCTCATGATTTATCCTGAATGGGAAGGAGATAGATAAAGCAAATCAAAGATGTACTAAAACACTTCCTACCATCTCAGAGATTTATGGGCATTTAAATCAAAAGGGATATCTGTAACTGTCTCTTTGGAAATTCTGCATGACACAGGCTTCATCCAATGCCTCCTTCATCCAATCTATTCAATAAAGCTTGAACATTAGTCAGAATGATGCAGCTGGAATAGACCACTATTTCTTGGACATATGCTCACTTTCACTGAACAAGTGGCTACATGCCTGAAGTGCCAGAATTCTGTAGGCATAGCCTCCAGAGCCCCTTTATGCTCAACACCACCCTACATACTGCTTTCTACTATTCTGGCAGACTAGTTTTTGCAGCCAGATTATAACCTGACAGCTAATACAATTCCATTTACTTGTTGAAAAAGTTCTGTGTTAGTGGCTAAGCAACCTCCAAAGGTCTTTCAAAGCAAATTGAGAAAGACAGACAGAAAGACAGGAAGACAGGAAGGAAGGAAGAAAGGAGGAAGGGAAGGAGGGAGGAAGGGAGGAAACTTCTTTCCCTACCCATTTCAATATTCTGTATGGACTAATTAGCACAGAGTTTGCCTGACCACAAATATCCTCTTTTATATTCAGAAGAATGTCCTTACTTTTTGTGTATTGGCAGAAAACACTAGATAGCCATGAAAGTAAGGAAATCAGATTCTTTAAGAACCTCTTCTGGAAGGAATTGTGAATTCATCTTGATGGATTTCAAAGCTACCTTCATGTTCCAGAGTGAGGGATGACACTGAACCAGGATTTGCCTCAGGCCCATCCAGCACAGCATGATGTATTTATCTTTTCCAGGAACCATGAGCTTAGCAAAGATCTTATTCATCCCTGTGCCCTAGCCATTGTAATGGCTGTGGCTCCAAAGAGGGATACTGAACTGGAGTAATGAAGTGATAGTTCAGGCCTCTTTGGTGTGATAGAAGGGCACTGATAGTTCACCTTAGTGATGAGAAGGAGAAGTCCCTACACACAGTCCAAGGGAAGAAGAAAGACCAGAAATAAGATGGTGTAGTTATTCCTGGATATTAATTATGGCTTAATTCACTCACTACCAGTGGCTGTGCTTGCCATGGATATTAAGTAGAAAATTAAGTACCTGAGACGAGATGTTGTTCTTTTCAGAGGAACTTTCCAGCTCTCACCAAATACATTCACGTTCTTTACCCAAACACCATTTGGACTTGTGAAGTCATTTCTATGTCTCCCATCAAAGTCACCACACAAGCCTTCCACTCTGTTTCTGTAGGTATTGGCCAGCTTTATATCTAGGGAAGTTCAGAAGAAAAAAAAAAGCCATTACACAGAAATCCTTGCTTTTGAGTGTATGGAAGAGGTGGAAAGCAGTGCCAAGTACCACATTTCATGATTCAGACCAGAGTTGGTAATGTGACATGAGCCTCATATGTAGGATATGAACACAGCCCTGAACATACATGTTCATACATCTATTCACAGGACTGTTTCTGTGCTCTGCAACATGGATCATGAAAAAAGTAATTTCTTGAAGCCGATAAGGTATTATGTAACATCACATCACCACCTGAGTGCTCTTAGTGCATACTGCTTACTCTGCTTTGCAACAAACTGAATGCATCACCCACTTTTTGCCCTTCATGTACAATCCACTTGCTCGTTGAGAAACAGAATTCCTATAAACCAGACCTTTTCTTTCTGCAGTTGGAATTTTAGGGTTTGGAATGATGGTCATCTGTATTAATGGCCTGGCACTTTCACCATACACTCAGAAATAACGTGCCTATATTCTGTTGTAAATCAGGAGTAACTGTGCTTTGAACAGAGGAGATAATATGTGTTCAACTTACATGAGTTGTGTATATGTGATATGAGGCCTGCTGAGAAACACTAAAGAATGGGATTATCTGGAACAGACTTGAGAGGAAGCATGTAAAAGGATGCCTCACAGCTGTATAGCTTGAGGACCTCAGTCCTATGACTGGGTTAAGCTGGCAAAGGGGCAGATCCAGACTTCACCCCATCATCCTGATCAGCAATTTAAGTGATTTGCTTTTGTTTATATCACTCAGGCCTTAGTTAACATAGCAAAAGGTGGAACAGTCTGACTCTCCATCTCATTTCTCCTAAGTTCAGGTGGATCCAGATAAAGAAATGCCAGTTTTATGGTTTTTCTGGTTCCTGGGAAACACTTTTTGTTTTAATATTCTGGAAGTTCATACCACAAAGGGACATAGGCTCAAAGGGTGACGTTTCTAATTTTGCCTTGGGTTTAGACCTCCTTTGGAATGAGAACATTTTTTGAGACAGTGCATGAATATTCCTGCACATTGTCTTGGTATCACTTACCTGCATTTTGATTGCCATCAAAGCTCAGGTATAAGCCAAAATCTGTCTCCAGGTAAATTCTTGTTGTCCTCTGATATATATGAATACCTTCATGAGGACGAACAGGGGGTCTCACCCTCACACCATCCAACTGACAGGGAAAGAATAAGTTACTATTCATAATATATAGGCCAAATTCAAATCTGGCTTCAGTAGAGGTCAATGCTGCAAATCAACACTCCTCTAGTTTTATGGTAAATATATCAGATAATGTAACCAGGTAAAAAACCTCAGTATTCAGTTTTTTAAAGTTAACAAAATCATGTTTTGAGGAAAGTGATCTGGACACAGTATTTTCATATCACCCTAAGAGATTTCTACTATTGGGCTAAAAATGTATATATGAGCTATGTATACTCTTACGCACCAATAGGAAGGAAATGAAGATTTACTAGCATAATTCACAGTTTTCCCTACCACTGATAAAAATTTGTATGGCTTTATTGTAAGTCTCGGGATATTTGGTGTTTTATTGCTAAATCTCTACTTATTCATTTATTTGTTTGAAGTAGAATTATATCCTTCATAACTATAGAGAAAAAAGACTTGACGCAACTGCAAATCACCTTTGTGGTTGCCCCATTGCACTGCTGTAATAATACAGTTAGCTTTAATACTTCAATTCTTCAAAACAGACATTTTTAACTCAAAAGTGTTTTATTCCACGGGAGGGCCTTTCTCTGTGCTCTGCAGTCAGTGAGAGACTTACCACAAGCTGCTTGTTCTGCCTGAATTGCACTGTGTGATTGTAAACATTGACGAGAATCTCTTTCAGGTAAGTAATGCGTCGACTTCGATGGAAAGGATAGTTCATGCCTTCAATGCTGAACTGCGTCAGAGTATCAGGTAGGTCAGGGATGGTCTGAGCCAGAATATATGTGTATTTTCCTTGAAAGTGGTGCACTAGACCATCGAAGGTGACGTAGTGTGGGTCGCCCATGATCTGGCATTTCCCAAAACCTAGAGGGGGAGAGCTTCATTACTCTCCAGTCTGAATGTGCATGTGCCAGATCCCATGCATGGATCAGTTTAAAATAAGTTAGATAAAAATGATTGCTGCTGGCATGCAGGTCTCCAAGTAAAGATGGGTGCTCAGGCATCACCCTAGTGAATGGGCACTCAAATGGAGAGATGGCCAGAGAAACTCATTCCTATGCTGAGAACCAGGGCAAGCCAACTGAACTGAAGCAGAACATTAGGGTTTATAGGCTTTATAGAGACTGAGTTGTGCACATTGGTCCTCTGCAGAGGAATGACTCTGCCACACAGCATGGCTTGCATGGCTTTTAGAGATGTTGGTTTCATAATCCTCAGCAATGTGTTGCTATAAAATTACTGGAACTTGAAAAGCAATGTCTAATTTTGGCTGGCTTGCTGCTGTCACAGTGATTTCTTCTGAGGTTACTAAATTGATCATTGGGTTCACCAGCCCTAACAATCAGACGCAGCGACTGTCATCTAAGTATTCTCCTTGACCATTGAGCGCAGAGCAAACCATTATTCTAGGAGCAAGGCTGTCCTTAAGACTGCTGGGGTGCCTCTGCTGTGGTATTTTGCCAAAATGGAGCAGGGGGAAGCTGGATTTGCATTATGCCCTTGTACTGATCAATACAGTAGGACCGATGCCATACTATTCTTCAAAATTGAAGTGTAGAGTCACTAGGCAACAAGCTACCTCCTAAACAATCCAATTTACCTAGAGAATATGCGATTAACTTTGCTTAGCCAAAAGAACTATCAAACGAAAAACACCCACGTTCTCTGACTGGCTCATTACGTATCTGTTCAGATCTGCTCTGTCCTGTTTTGCCGTTATGTTTTTCTGTTCTCAAATCAACATGCAATGGAAAAAACAGGATCATTGCCAAAGGATTCACAGACATATCTGGGTTTTGGTTTTGGTAGATACAATGCAAATATTTTTTTCTTTTTTTTTTTTTATTTGAACTAGTCAGACTGAACTGTCAAATTTCTAGATGTAAGTAAATTTTCAAACTCTTGTTCCAATTCGCTCTACAAAGTCTCTATCTTGTACTGGAACTTTCTGTTCTGAGAACTTTTTCTGTTCAATAATGTGTCGTCAATAGCACTGTCAGAGCTGCCACCTTTCCCTGTGGAAAAGACTGGAAGTGCCATGGAAGAAAGAATGGACACCCACATCCTTCCTCCTTCTCCAGCCCTCATGGAACACCAAGTGAAGGTGTGCCTGCACATACCTGTTGGATTGCACTTGTGTTTTCCATTTTTGATCACGCAGGTTTCTCTAGAATCACAGCTATGGCTCTTGCATTTGATGACACCGTTCTTGTGACACTGGCATCTTTTGGTGCAGTGTGGAGTTATCCAGGTCTCCCCAGCCTGAACACAAGTTGTATTAATAGTATGTTATCAAGGTGCTCAGCTTTGCAACGCAATAAAAGTTCAATAGCAAAGGGTGTGGGGGCTGGCTAGGTGCAACCTGTCCAGATGGTGATTCCACAACTGCTCAATCCAGGTGTAGTCTCACCAAGAGGTGATGTTCCCAGTCCATTTATCTTATTGTCTTTGACATGAGAATTTGAACACAAAACAGGACTAGGACAGACTGCTTGAATAACTCTGATCAATTGAATAGTTTTGAATATGCCTCAATTTTGGCCTCAGGTACGAAGTACCAAGCTCCTGCATCTCCTAATACATGAGCCTGCAGCTTTTACTAATCAGATGAAAGGTTTTTAAGAGGTAGACCCTGAAGATTTCTTTCTCTCTCATTCAGATGGACAGGAGACCAACTTTCTGCAAGTTTCGCAGCCAGAGATTTGCTCCACAGACTAATTACTTACACTGTAGTAATTGTTGTCATCATCCCTGCAGCCACAATCGCTTAGAGGTACACACTTGCCATTACTGAGCACATAATTATTATCACATTCACAGCCCTCAGTGCACTCTTCTGTCTTCTCACAAAGGGAAGAGGCAAAAATGTCATTGCATGTTGATGGGCAGGTGGAGACACAGTCTGTGTAATGGCTGTGGTGTGGACAGGGCAATGCTGTGTGGGTGGAGAATAGAACCAGCATTATTAAATACATTTAGAAAGTGCACTGCAAACACATGTGCCTAGCTGAAAGCTACAACTTGGCCTATAAAATGGTAGTATAGAATTGCCTTTTAATAGCTGATTTTGATCATCCACCAGTTTTGATTTTTTATATTTTATTTAAAAACCCAACAAAACCAAAACAGAGAACCCTCTCTGGAGCTGCTGATTCAGTTCTATTACAGGTATGCCTGAAATGGTGGCACCTGGCACTAGATCATTCAGATTCAGTAATCCAGTTCAGCTTCAAATGCCTCTTTGGGCACTGCTAGAAATGAGAATCTTTAGGGCAAATTCCTTAGAATGTTCAACCCTCCAGTGATGCAAAATAGGTGTATATCTAGCTTAACCACAGGCATAAACACATGCAAGAACAACAGATATGCATTGTCAGACTGAAGATTCATCTAGCTCTATAACCTATTTCTGCCAATGACTAGAGATGCATAAGGGGACAGCTCAAGAAACAGGGTAGCAGGACAAAGGGTTCGTTTGTCCAGTATTTTCCTCCACTCATGGCAAGGAGGCAACTAGGAATTTCTGATGGACCTATTCAACATTCATCTGGCTTGTTTTTTAACCAGTTAATTGTTTTGTCCTCCACAACATTATGTGATAATTAATTCCAAAATGTAATACTAAATTGTGAAAAAACAACAACAAGAAACCCACTGTGTAATCTTTACTCATTGTTACATAATTTGTTTGTAGCTTTGTTGAATGGGTGGAGTGAGGCACATACACTGGAAATTAATTAATCTGAGAACGTGGCCCCTAATAAGCAACTGGCCAAATTGTCAGTTTTCATTCAAAACACAGTGTCATCGAGCCCTGTGTCCTAACACAGTATCCCACTTTGTTTTAGTCTTCTTTAGTCTGGTTGTATTATTTCTCCATTTTAGGCTTATTGCAACGTATCATGATGCTCATTTGGCTACTAAAGCCATTCTAACTCCACATTACTATCCATAACTTGTCTAGTCCTGAGTTATAACTGGGTTTAGCTCAACCTGAACACAGTTCAGTGCAACAATGGAGTCATTAAATCATAATAATAGAATTGCATTTTGTGAGAATTTGGGTTAAATTTTCTTTTATGTTACTTGTTCACCTAATACTGCTAATTTGTTTTCAAGCCATCCAAGGTTCAGTTTTTTCACTTGCTTGTACACTTACGACAGAATGTGCTATTCCTCCATTTAATGGTGATTCCATGATTCCTGCAGGTGTCCACATAGACTTGAACTATGTCGCAGAGAGTAGACTTCATGCCATCATACTGGCACATATCATAGATGCAGATCTGTATGAAGTCTTCAGGCTTGACAAGATTATGACATGCTTTGAATTTGTCTGATTTTAGGACATTGCACTGGCTTTCAATGACTGGTTTATTCTCGGCAGTGCAAGGAGGAACATCATCTTCTCTTAAGTCTGATAAACAACTGCATGAAAGCACAGACACAGCTGCATTTAAGTTTCAAAGGCATATATAAGATAAGAGACTGACACTGAAAAGTTTGTTTCTACTGAAAGGTATTAAACAAATAATGCTAGAGACTGCGGTCTTCGTTCTGTCTATGAGTGAAAGATTAGGCAGAAGGAGATCTGCCTGGCAATCACCATGCTGTGTATGACCCTCATTACTCTCACTGAACTTGACCCTGACTAGAAGATTGACTTCTCAGCTTGATGTCGGAGCTGTCTTGTCACTGCAAATTTGTGTGGTGATCTGGATTCTTGGCTGACCCTGGCTTCCACCCTTGGGCCTGTCCTGCTTGCCTTGCTCTGGGACTGTGGGATGGGCCCTGGCTGGTGAGGCCACTGTTCTCTCGGCTGTGTTATCACACTTGGCTCCTTGTCCCTTAGGGAGCAGCTGGCCCTCACTCTTCCCCAACACCATTGTCCTGCTCTAGGTGTTTTCAGCATAAAATAAACAAAGGCTATGTCCACACTGTGGACTGCCCCAAAGCCTAATTCCCCAAGTGTATGGAGATCTATAGAATGGCTGTGGCTTCCCTCTGGCCTGTGCAGTAGTTTCCTGTGGTGAGGGATTTTTTTTGAGTTTCAAATTCAAGAAGAGAAAAGTCTCATATACACGACAAATGTTACAAAGTAGCAAACAATCAAAACAATTGAAAGGAGACTTTCCCAAAGGAAGATGGAAGGTATGAAAGGAAGTTACATTTACCCTTCATCACTGTCTTCCTCCACTTTCCAGCTATTTCCAAACTGTGTGACACTGGCGAGTGTACCATTGGGCAAGGACAGATCATCTTCACGATTATCATTGAAGTTACCACACATGCCATGTACCTGCAAATGAACAAGAACCGTATTCTAAGCAGAGTCTGTTCTGCATCAGTTTCCCCAGTAACTTTGTATTCATTGCCTGTGAAATGATGTGACCAAGTCAGTATCAATAACCAATCTTGTACCAGACATTTCAGACATACTCACTAGTGTCTGACTGTACCCATGGAAAAATAGAATAGAAACTGCAGTAAGTCTGTGGTTCCCTAAGGCTTCAAGGTGTTTTATTCTATAAGCTGGATGTATTCCCCTAGCCAGGTCATTTTCTTTAACTACCCCCTTGGAAAAAAACAGAAATTGTTGTGAAGGGAAAAAAAATAGAAAGCAAAAAAATGACATGTTACAATACAGCTACAAAGAAAGGTGCAATAGCAAAACACAGGAATAAAAGAAAAAGAAATGCACAAAGCAGTGGTTTTGAAACAGTGCCAGATGTTTACATGCTAAATCTTACCTTTGAGAAATAAGACTGTGGGAGGGTGATTTCCAGATGGTGATTGCCATCATATTTCACTATTACACCAAAGTCAGTTTCCACTACTATAAATCTGCCAACATTTCCAATGGACACACCTCGCAACCGGTTCTCCACTGGAGTGTAGACTCTCTCATTGTTCAACTGGAGAGACATGTCATTTGTCAGTATGGACATTCTTCCGTGAAAGATTTTCTACTCACAGTCTATATTCCTAGCAGTGCTGAAGATTTCTCTATGACAGTTTTAGCTCCTTTATACTTCCACCATTGCATATTCCAACTATGGGTTGCAGGAATCAGCCTTATAGCTGAGGAGAGCTGGGCAGGACTCATAGCCCTTGCCTTTAACAAAAGAGAGCTGGAAAGATCCCTGGTAGTGAGCAAACTCTTACCTACCCATTGGGTGGCTTCCCTGCCCCTGGTACTGCCATGGATGCCCATGCTATTCTAGACCAATACAGTATGACTTGCTTTTCCTCTGCTCTTGTTAGCTAGCTATAGGTAGTTGGGTTGACAACAGCTATTGAAGTGGGGAGTCCCATTCTTTACTTCAGGCAACAATTCTCCAATCTGGAGGCTCTGGGCTCCACCTCCAAGATATGGCCAATAGAACAGTAAACCCAAAACAGAAGCCTTGGGAACTAGTGAGAAATTATATTTCCCCATGACATCCAGTTAATGGAGATGCCCACAAGTATTAAGCATATGTGTACATATTCCTTAGGAAACATGAAGATCCTTTTTCCTACAGCTACTGTAGTGAGCTAATTTTAAGATACGTCTTGCCAGAATAAAGAGCACCACCACCTACCAGGATTCCTTGGCTTTTCTGAAGGGTGATTCGTACACCATACACATCTATGTAGACTTCTTTCAGGTATGTGGCCCCTCTTAGTCCTCTGTCTTCATTCTTGCCAAGGATGGTTATAGGAATGACACTGTTGTTGTTGACAACCTCAACCAAGGTGTAGGTGCAGGTACCCACAAAAGTGTACATCATTCCATCAAATGTGAAATAATGGGGATCTCCTGCCACTTGACATGTTGCTTGGCCTGAAGGTGAAAAAATTATCTAAGAACTTTGGCTTGGATTTCACCATGGACTCAGGGGACCAAAGGTGTTTGCATTAGTGCAGCAACCTAATCCTGATCATTATTATGTGGGCAAACATTAGAGGTATCTCAGGTTCATGCCAATGACATTTATTTGGAAATCAGAAATTTCCAGAAAGTGTCTCCTAAATTTAATTTGCAAATTACTTACAAACTGGCAACTTGGCAGCAAATGAACCTCTTTATACATTTCTATATGCTGTTGTAGCTGTGATTTATGGTAGTTGAGAGTAATACAGAGCTTTTCTACTTATCTATAAAAAAATACATAATTATATGTATAAATATAGGTGTAAATATGAAAGTAAATACATTTGCATCTATATACATAGATACTTAATGCACTTGCCATCACCCAGACTCTCAGACATGCAGTTTTAATTATTGCCAAATTCAGAGCTTGCAGCACTGATGATGTGGGACTTGACTTTCTATTATCAAGACAAAAAGAACCCAAGTGACCTTGCAAACTTTTGGGCAGCATCAGTTTTTGCTGATATCCACTACAACAGAAGGGGTCTGTGCTTGCAAGACAGATCGTCCTGTCTTTTCATCTGTTAGCACTGGCAGCAGTCAGTTTGGACTTCTTTGCCATCACATATGAAAAGATATTTATAATAAAGCTAGAAGGAGAAGGAGGATCTAATTATGGAATTGACATTAAGAACCATTTTCAGGCAGGACTTACCATTGGAATGACAGCCCAGCACACCATCCTGAATACTGCATTCCTCTCGGACTCCACACTTCCAGGATGTGCATACAATGGTGTTATTAGCCTTGCAGGTGCAGCGTTCAGTGCAGGGATAACTGGTGAACCAGCTTTCATCCAGCTGAGCAGAAAAAAGAGTGTAGAAGTATATACTATAAGATAAATTGGAAGGTAATACCATAAGGGACAATCATATTATTAGTATTTGAATGTGCATGATGTATGATCATTTGGGCAATTGTAGCCACACAGCTCACAGATCAAGAAGGCTGGCAAAGTGAGTCTATTTTGTTATTATTAATGCTGTAAATAATAACTGTGTTAATGATATTAACATTTTTTTCTCTCATGGTGATAAAGAATGAGTTCCCATGTTTGTTCTTTTTTTTTTCTTTAAACATCAGAGGTAACTTGCCTGGTGATACTGTTTTTTTTCATCAACACAACCACAGCTGCTTTCTGGCACACATTTGTCTCCACTCAAAATGTAACCTTCCTTACAGAAGCAACCTTCCACTGGTAAGGAACTGCAAGAATCAACTGCTGAGATGTTCAAACAGGTAGAGGGACACCTAGTACCACAGCTCTTGTAGATGCTGCCTCCAGGACAGGACATTGCTAGAGAGAAAAAGTAAGATCACTCAAAAGGGCAAAATCATCATAGAAGTTTTCCCGATGCTTTCACTGATTGCTCCTGAAAATATATAAAATTGCTCTTAGAATGTCTGACACTGGACAGTGCTGTGTACAAAGGATTTTCTTGCCATGTGAGATGGGTGGCTTTTCATAGAGGTGGGTAAGACAGGTGGGCCACCCTGCACTTCACCTCACAAAGGAAGTCAAACATTGTAGGCTCACTTTGAGGGTAGGTCTGATGTGATCATACAGGACTAATTGTGCTTGGTTCAGTAAACCTTTTTCTGCAGGTTTAAAGACATGAAGTCACTCCATTAAAGGAATAGAAGAATCTTTTCACGTACCAGCTGATATGGCCCTATTACTGTAGTTACTATTTGAACACCTGCCATATATTTAAAAATAGAACTAAAAATCAGACTCTGTCTTTCACTGAGACCCCGTGAGGAAAAGATATTATATTGTCACACCCCTCCTGCTCATGGTAGAATTGGGCTTCTATCACTCAAAGCATGCTCCCCAGGGAAGACATTACATTTTACAGAAATCCTGAAGCATTTGTCCCTTTCTGTCATCTAAAAAAACCCCCCTAAAAACTGTTTCTGACTACATTCTGTGATAAATCACTACATATGACTTTCATTTATTTCTGTCCCTACAGCAGGATCTCTTAGTCCTGTCAGGCATTTACAACCAACATCTCCAGTCACCTAGCCAGAGTACCTGCCCTTTGTCAGGTTCTTAATTGAGTTTTTGTTTGAATTACTGATGGAAGGAGCACTTGAGAGTCAATCCTCTTAATGTGACTGAGTCTTCTCTATCACTATAATCAAGCCATAGATATTTAGGTCCTGGGCTATGGCCTCAGACTATGGAGTCTGGATGTCCATAGTGCTAATCTGATTTGGAGGGTTAGAAGCTCATTTCTTGCTCTGTCTTCTGTTTTATTTCAGTGTGCTTGACCTTTAGAGGACTTCTTTTTTTTTTCTCCAGGTGTGTACTTTGTGGATATAAAAGTCCTTTAGAAGATGTCTGGCAAGCAGAAAACTGCCCAGTGCTGCATAAAATCGGCACCAGTGGAACCCCTGGAAAGATTTATTCTAAGAAATACGAATTCATTATATGAAATTTCCCATAAGGTCATTCTGAAAAGAATTAATTGGGAGATAAGTGAGAATACTTGATTTCTTTGCTTTATAGAGAAATACTTGTAAACTTCCTAAAAACAGCTGTTTCTCAAGGTCTCTTATTAAACTAGTTTTTTAACCAAAAGCCATCGATAAGCATTTGTGTGTGGAAGACTACCAGCTCTACTTACACTGAGGATGGTAGTTTTTCAGTGGAGCAAAGCAGCAGTAATTTCCCCAGTGCAGAAGCTCACATAAGACACAGTTAAATGTAATCAAACTTTTCCAAGAAACTAATAGTAAATTACTAAAACTTTGAGGATTAGACCTGCATGTGTCCAAATGTCCTTGAAAATTAGTATTTTATACAAATACTGGAATGGTACTGAAACTGAAGCAGGCTCAAGACATGACAAAAGAGAAACTATACTCAAAACATTACATAAAATGAAATAACATGCATGAAAAAGGTAAAGGAAAATGTGCATACTTTTGAAGTTTAAATCCAGAATAGATATTTATAAGTTACAACACTCACGGCAAAGAGTAGCATTCCTCCACTCTATGCATATCCCAGCATTGATACATGACTCAGCATAGGCCTGCAGTCCATAGCATAAGGATATTGCCTGTCCACCAGTGAAACACATGTCATAAACGCAGTTTTCAAAGAAATTCTCTGGAGGCACTTTGGTATGACAATCCTTGAAAATTCCTGTGTAAATCAAGAAAGTTATATAGAATGATAGAAAAAAATTGGGAATGATAAGATCACCACCACCATCTATTTTCTGTCATGGCAAATGTATTGTAAGTGCTCCAGGCTAACTTTGTTTAGTAAGTAAACCAACACTTGAAACGGAGCATGCACAATGAGACTTGCCCCTCTGCATCAGGCTTTCTTCTTTTTGCATGATTGATATAACATAGCTTACATAAATTAGGAGTTGCTGGCTAGGCAAGCCACTAATTCCAGACAACTGCAGGGGCTGTCCAATGCAGGGAACACATACAGGATTTCAGATAAAGTATCTGTAATACATGCAATGACAGTGTGCTCTGAACTATCTCTTTTAGGAAGCAGAGTGCAAGTCACTATAAAGCAAAGAGCAGCTATGGCTCCCTGAGCACATTCTCAGATAATCTTCATGGACACATTGGCACTGTCTGAGTGGTTGACATATCTTAACCAAGCACCTATGAGTTTTATGTTGGCCATTCACACTGGAGGTTTTATGCATATTTATTCCAATGTGAGCTCAGAACAACGAACTATGGAGAGGAGACAACACAAGCTATAAAGTGCTCCATCACATGTCTCACAGAGAACTACCAACATACTACCTGTTGGGTCTGTGATCATGCCACATGCTGTGTTCTTCTTTGCTTCACTCTCGAGCATGGGATCACATTGCTCTTCTGTCCCACTGGAGCATCTGGGGAAAGCAAGCAAAATCAAATGTGTGTTTCACATCTCTTACTATCAGATTTTCAGTGGAAGATTGACACATGACAACCCTGCACAACAGGGTGTATTTTATTACAGTCACAAGACTTTATCCAGCTTCTTTGAAAAGCTGATATCAGCCCTATCACTGAATGGACTCCCTTTCTGATGCCTTGTGGGCTATTCAAAGGCCTATTCTTAGCTGAAAAAAGAGCTGTGGGATCCAATCAGTTACGGTTTCCAATCAGAGAAACAGACTGAAGTCCCATCCCCCCTCACACTCAGCAGACTGTTCCTGCTTTGGAAAACAAGACTTAAAGGACATAAGCTCTCTTCTCATTCCCTGTTTAATGTAAAGGGACAGCTCCTTACTTCTAATGGACAGTTGGAAGATGTAAAATGGTACTGGATGACAAAACCAGTGAGTGGATGGATGTTTGATTTTATAGAGTTTGATTAGCAAATGCCATGTGATTAAATTAATATACATACATGGTGTTATTCTCAGGTACAAGCCAGCTTTGTCCAAGATCACTGGAGCCACTTGCAGTGTCACCATTGGGCTTTATGTTGTCATCATTTGGATCATCATTATAATTACCTGGGAGGGTAAAAAGAGATTTATGGGACACATGAAGCTCATACCTGTAGAAGAAACCTCAGTTTCAGACTGTGAAATAAACTACAATGAACTAGATAGAGTATATGTGAAACATCAATGTATACTGGGCAAAATAAGAAGAGCTCAGTTGTGTTTTAGACTTTGACCACTGACAAGAACAGCTGTTCTGGGACTTGTGGACTTGAAGCAAGAAGTCTGTAAGTTCTTATGTGACTAGATCACATTATATACAAGAAAGAACTGTTCAGCTAAAAAACCCCAACTCCTTTCCTTGGATCCTACCTGTAGAATATTGGACTAAATATCAAACGGTGTTATTTGCACCATTACATTCTTACGTAGATTTCCTGAAGTGAAAGTGTGAAAAACCCATGGAGAGATAATTGAGCTTGGAAATTTCATAGAATCATAGAATTGTTTAGGTTGGAAAAGACCTTTAAGATCATCAAGTCCAACTGTCAACCCAACACTACCATGCCCACTAAACCATGTCCTGAAGTGCCACATCTACGCATTTTTTGAACACCTCCAGGGATGGTGACTCCACCACTTCCCTGGGCAGCCTGTTCCAATGCCTGACAACCCTTTCAGTAAAGAAATTTTTTCTAATATCCAATGTAAACCTCCCCTGCCGCAGCTTAAGGCCATTTCATTTCGTCCTATCTCCAGCCACCTGACAGAAGAGACCAGCCCCCACCTCACACCAACACCCCTTCAGGTAGTTGTAGGGAGCAATAAGGTCTCCCCTCAGCCTCCTCTTCTCTAAACTAGACAGCCCCAGCTCCCTCAGCCGCTCCTCATAAGACTTGTGCTCCAGGCCCCTCACCAACTTGGTTGCCCTTCTCTGGACACGCTCCAGCACCTCCATGTCTTTCCTGTAGTGAGGGGCCCAAAATCAAACACAATATTCAAGGTGCGGCCTCACCAGTGCCGAGTACAGGGGGATGATCACTTCCCTGCTCCTGCTGGCCACACTATTGCTGATACAGGCCAGGATGCCGTTGGCCTTCTTGGCCACCTGGGCACACTGCTGGCTCATATACAGTCAGCTGTCAACCAGCACCCCCAGCTCTTTTTCTGCTGGGCAGCTTTCCAGCCACTCTTCCCCAAGCCTGTAGCGTTGCATGGGGTTGTTGTGATCCACGTGCAGGACCGGTCACTTGGCCTTGTTGAACCTCATACAATTGGCCTCGGCCCATCGATCCAGCCTGTCCGGCTCCCTCTGTAGAGCCTCCCTACCCTTGAGCAGATCAACCCTCCCTCCCAACTTGGTGTCATCCACAAACTTACTGAGGGTGCACTCTATCCCCTCGTCCAGATCATTGATAAAGATATTAAAGAGAACTGGCCCCAAAACTGAGCCCTGGGGAACACCACTTGTGACTGGCCACCAACTGGATTTAACTCCATTCACCACAACCCTCTGGGCTCGTCCATCCAGCCAGGTTTTTACCCGGCAAAGAGTACACCTGTCTAAGCCATGAGCTGCCAGCTTCTCAAGGAGTATGCTGTGAGACCATTTCACAAATTTCAGATGATCCAAATCAAAGAATAATCAGAAACTCACAAGACGAGCTACTCTCATAATTTCTACAGTCCTGTTTCCATCCTGAAGTACATTTCATATAATCACCTGGATTTCAGAATGTTGTTCCAACTAAACCTGCATTAGCAGCACTGCTGATGAAAAATTACTGGTCACTACTAATTCCAGCGAGCACCTACTCTCATTAGCTACATAAACTACCTGTGACTCTTACTTATTTTGCTATCCTATTGCAACAGAATTTCTTACAGAACACAGTAGAATGTGCCCTTTGTGTCTGATCTTTCTCACAGGATTCTAAAAGGCCTCTATGTTTTGTATTGTATATAGCACTTAATATTTTGTGGTATTTGAATTTTGGAAATAAAGTATGAGTTTTGTTATTCATCAAGTCTGTCAGCTCAGGATTATTGATATTGGATCCTTGTCATTGCTGTGTTTTAATGTAGACACTGCCTACCTTAGCTGGAATAAAAAGTAGCTAAAAATAAGCCTTAGTAGTCTAATTTTTCTTTTCTTTCTTTTTCTTCTATTTCTTCTTTATTTTTTTTTCTTTGATCATATAAACATGATCATTCATGTTGTATAAATACCCCCTAAAACAGCACAGGAGAACAACAGCAGGAAAGGTTGAAGAAGTTGACAGTAAGCTATTCTGAAGATTGCTCTCTGCTGTGGAAACCATATCAAGTTTTTATGATTCACAAAATGAAATGGTATAGCATTCCTCACACCCAACAAAAGACAAATACATCAGAATGTAAATAGCAGAAAAATATATTTGTAGAATTCTTGAGTAGATGCATGCAAATCATTACTCTTCCTATATTTAAACTGTAGAACTGAAGTGAGGTTATTTGTTTGGCTAAAAATGTTATTTTCAGTTACACCTCACAACATTCCAAATGGATAGCATGTTACCAGGAATTTTGTAAGTAACAGTTGTTAGAAACTGAAAAATTCTAGCAAGTTTTCTTCACTGCTGTAAATTCTAGTCCATTTGACAAGGACTAATTGTGTGTAGAATAAGTATAACATGCTAAAAAAGAGATTTTAAGTGATCACCAGCCTCCACAACTCACTAAAAAGTGACTAGAGCCTATGACTTACCACAGAGGCCACAGAGCAGACCACGGTAATTAGAGGGCACAGAGACTTCTGCATAGTGATTTCCATCATATCTCACCCACAGTCCAAAGTCAGTTTCCAAGAGAACATAACCACCACTGCTTTGAATACTGATCTTCTTTTCAATAAATACAGGCAGGTTCATTCTGCTGCCATTCACCTGTACAGCAAGTTGTAGAATTTGTTGGACATCTCATTAAAAGAGGTACATTTAAGTAATAAAAAGAGAAACTTTGCTATAAACTCTACAGAGAAAATATTTCATTATCTGCATGTTAGTTTAAAAATGTTATATATGTCTTTTAAACAAGTATTTTCTTACATTCACTTTCTTGTTTTTCAGCAAAGAAATCTGGTTGCCATAGACTTCCACTTGCACTGACTTCACATAAGAGACTTTGGTGTTGGCTCCTCTGTGCTCATTTGTTGTGGACACATCAAAGTATGGAAGCCTTTCAGAGATGTTGCACACTTTGGACAGGGTGTAAGTGCAATTTCCCATGAAATGATGAACTCTGTGGTCAAAAGTGTTATAATGTGGATCCCCAGAGGCACTGCAGGAAGCACGGCCTGGGAAGAAAGAAAGACCAGACTAGTTCCCTCTGAATCTTTACCAGACTTCTGCAGTTCCTTTGTTCCCACTTTGTTTGTTTGTTTTAGTTTGTAATTGCTGCTCAGATATAACAATGATGGCATCAGTCAAGAACATCCCAAAGCCCAGCCCAACCTCCTGTCTTTGGACCCATAAAGAACCTGTACTCTTGTGTATCAGAAATCTATGCTAGAGGTTGAGGAAGAAATATAAGCAAAACGTTTTTATATTAAAAAAAAAGCTTTGTTATTAAGACATTATATAAAGTGGAACAGTGAGTTTTTAGTGTTCATGTCCGAAAGGCTATATCTGACTAAATAGTAAAAATTTACTCAAAAACTTTACAGGGTTGGTTAGCCAAAATAGACTACTGTACTATCAGCTGTCTGGAGTTCTGTACTCACATCAGTTATGGAACTCCTGTTGAACACTGCGTACACAAGATGTCCTTTACACACTTTTAAAAAATATTGAAGTCAACTAGCCAGTGATAATATGTACAAATGGAGGTACACAGTGTGTGAGCATTTGTGTGTGAGCTGGGTAAGGTTTTGAGTGCTAATAAGAAATTCCTATTTTCAATAAAAAAATCTTTCCATCAAATCTTATCAGCATTGAGCTTGTACTGCTTTATGGTGTTTAACAACAACAACAACAAAAAATAATGAAAAGAGGTCCTTACTTCTTCTCTGATTTTCAATGGCCTGTTACAAAAACAGCTACACTTATGGTTGTGTCTAAATGCCAACCTTAACAGCTTACACATGAACTATTAAAACTCCAGGAACTACATACAACACAGTTATAAAAAAACTGCAGAAGACATCCAAACTGACTAGGTGAGCTAGCACTCTCTTGTACTTAACAAGCTGACACATGCAGAAGACTTATTGCTTAAAATGGGAGGAAAGAAGCAGTAAAATTTATCTAAACTGATATTTTAGTGTATTTCCTAAGTATTAAAATAACAATAACCACAATGACCCAGTCTTTTCCAGGACCATATAATTGGATTATGTCCAAAATCAAAACAAAATCTGGAAGCTAAATTAAATTTCAAAATATTACAAACAGTAACATCTATATAACAGGTGAAAACTTGCCATAGAGAAGGGAAATTTAAATAGATATGGACATGGCAATAAAGGGTATGTGAGATAACTATCAGGAAGATAGTTTAATGTTGCCAAAACCAGCGATATTGTGCCAAGAGACACCCAGGGCAGGACAAACATAGTCACTATGCAGAAAGAGTCCCAACACTGAAGGGCTGACCCACCAGTGTAATTGGGCAGGCAAGAAAAAGCTCTGACCATGCAGTATCAAAACACTGTCACATGGCTGTGGGACCCGGATTAAGAAAACTGAGCAGTTATGAAAGGCTGTAAGAGATGTGGATGGAAAAGGACAGTACCTGAGCTCGGTGTGGGTCTCGGTTGTGATGGTGTGTGCGGAGGCTGCGTTGTAGTGCCCGGCGAGGGGATTGTGGGTTTTGGTGTCGATGGACCTAGCACAAGAGAGAGCTAGAGGAGATCTGCACCAACGTGGGAGATTTGTTCCACGCAGCTGGCCCACCTTTCCCAAACACCCAACGCTGTGACCAGGGAGGCCCAGGCAGGGATTGCAGAGTGTCAACTCAGAAACAGCCCTGCCATTCAAGGGCTCTGGCACCAGCATAGCTGCATGACAAAAGAAGATTAGGCACTTCTGTACCTATGCTCAGTGTCTTGGCTGTGGGCCTTGTAATACATGGACTAAACAGTGACTGCAGGCAGCGCCAGTGCTCCAGTCTCCAGGGGGAAAGCCTGCTTAACACAGGCTGCATTGCTGGCCTACAGGGCACTGCAAAGACAACCTGTGCTCTTGGCTCTAGCACAGCCTGTCAACTCAGTCAGTGACATCTCTCAAGCTGCCCTTCCCCAAGCCGACCCTTGTACCTGTGCAGGATCCCTTTTCAATGGACAGATCATCCAATGCTACGTCGCTCCGGAAGTCTTCACCCCATTCTCCCTCCAGGACAATCTAAGGGAATGGATAGTTCCCAGCATTAGCTCCGGCCACATGTGTGAAGTGCCATTGCACAGCACGGTTCCTCTCAGGTGGCACTGAGAGCCTGTGCCCTTACCTGCATGTTTCCTGTGCTGTGCACCGTGATCTCTCCCAAGTTCCATCTGTCCCCTTTGCTTCCAGCATCTCTCCATTCCAGTGTTGATGTTTCATTTTGAACTATGTACACGCGCAGGGCCATTGTTTCAGCTGCTCCGTACATGTGATACCAGAAGCGGAAGCAGTGCGGTCCTTCTGAACTGCACACTGGGCTGACCAGATGAGCCACAAAGCCGGGGAGGGCATTGCTCCCTTGCAGATAGATGTAGTAGCCGTCTGAAACAAAGTGTGAGCCACGCTGTCGCACGCATATCAAATCTCGACAAAGCAGCCAGGGACAACCCAAGCACAGTCCTGGGAGCACCCCCTGCTGCAGTTCAAGGCAGGCAAAAGGAGGGGAGAGCAAACACAGGTCCTTTGCTAGCCACAACTCTCCCCAGCCCTGAGTCCGCCTATGAACCGTCCTCTCTGGGCCACGGCAGCTGTATGGCTTGGAGTGGGCAACGGCACCGCCTCCAAAGCATCGCCACAATCCTCGCGTGGCTCTGCAGCTTTGGGGCCCGCTCATCATTAGCTTCTGGAGAAGCCAGCGTCTCCTAAAAGAGAGACCCGCTCCTGTTCCCCCGAGGCAGCTGGGTCATCAAGCTTTGCATTACTTTCCCCCTCGCATGGCAGGTCGCTGCCTGCCCTGCGAGTACCACAGACTGATTCCACGGGCTGGAAATCTTCCTAAAGGAGGGCTCTGGCCAGAAGCAGCTCTGGCTCAAGGCCAGGAAACTTGTGGCCTGTATTTGCTGTGAGAAGAGGCTTGTCGCCATCTTCCCAGGGACACCCCTGTGCCTGAAGGACCGCTGTGTACTGATTGCTGTTCCTACCTCCTGTCGTGTGGTCAAAGGAGGGGCCGGTATCTGGCGTGGGCGTTGGACCCTTGTTCCTTTTCCAGTCAATGCTGCTGGAATCTGCCTGGACCCACTCACAGAAGTCACTGTCGAATGTGCAGGTGAAATTGCAGTCTGTTGGGGGAGCTGGAGGTGGTGCAGAAAGGAAAGCAGAGTTTCTACAGTGAGGGTGGGGCCACCTTTTCTTGTGTCCCACAGGGCACACCTACATCCCTGGCACGCTGGCGGCCAGGTGAGGATGGCCAACCAAGTGGAAGTGCACGAGCTGAGTGCCTAGCACAGCCAGTAAAAAACATGGGTGGGAGACAACGGTACCTGTGCTTGTCCCAGGTGCTGGTGACGTTGTTGTGTGTGGAGGTGGCGTTGAGGTGTCTGGCAAGGGGGCCGAGGTTGTAGGAGCTGCTGCATGTACAGTGAAACAGAGGTGGAGAGGATGTTTTTCATGATGGGGATTTGTTCCCAAATGGGGATGTTGCACCCTTCCCAAACACCCCCACGCCATGGCAAAAGGAGCGCAGGACAGGAATTCCACGGTATCCCTGTCTCAAAGAATCTCTTCACCCAAGGGCTGGTCCACCAGAGCGGTTAGGTGACACATGGAGAAGCCTCCACCACAGCTGCCCCATTCCTTGAATCTGGGCCACAAAGGAGGTCAACAGAACACTTACCACAGACAGTGCCAGCACTCCAGTCTCCCAGAGCAACTCCTGCCTCAGCACACGCTGCGGCATAAGCCCCCAGGTCATTGCAGAGCTGCTCCGTGCTGCCACCCGTGGCACACTGGTCATAGACACAGCTCTCAAAGTACGTCCTGGGCGGCAGAACTGCATGGCATGGCTGGAACGGGCCGCCGAGTTGCGTGAGGATTGCACACTGCTTGTTAGCTGCCACCTCCTCGGAGGGGGAGCAGGACGCAGGAGGGCTGATGGCTGGGTCACACCTACAAAGCAGACAGCCAGCCCTGAGCTCACGGCAGCCTGTGGACCCCAGCCACACCATTTCCTGACCTCCTCCCCAGCCACAACCTCAGCTTCTGCAGTCCGGATCCCTCCCTAAGACAAGGCACTCAACGGCTGTCACTTGCAAGGGTGGGCAGCACGGCCCACAGTCACCATTCCCCTCCGTGGCATCGGGTGGACAGAAGCAAACGGAGGAGGCGGTTGCGACCCCAACAGCTTGGGAAAAGCATCGTGCCAAGGCCCTGTCTCACTCTCTCTGGGGTCAGGAGCAGTGAGATGCAGCATATGGAGTGGGATGGCAGGGCCCTGCACATGGGTCACCAAGGACCCCAGAGCAGAGCGCCTACGGGGAGAGAGCACCGTGCACCCCGACCACATGGAGGGACCACACGGACGCTGCCACAAGCAAGCCAGCCTTGAGGGGAAAGGGGCACGGCCACACATCTGGCACCCAGTTGCAGACTCGACACCCCACTGGTGGGGGGAGCAGAGAGGAGAGACGCGAGGACGATACATCTGCTGCTGCGGAGCCTCTATGTGCTCTCACACACTTTCCCACAACTGCCTGCCTCCTCTCCCTTGCCCCACGCCTGCCATTACCAACCCTCCCTCCTTGTGCCCCTCACAGCTCCCCTCTCCCACGCTCCCTTTTGTCCGTCATCTACGCGACGGAACAAGGACTCACGGCCACTCGTCGTCCGGCACCATCCAGCTGGCTCCAAAGTCATTGAAGTCGGGCACGACAACGCCATCGGGGCGCATGAAGTCGTCCTGCTGGCTCCCAGTGTACGTCCCACACAGCCCACACAGCTTGCCCTTGTGCTTCTCAGACACCCTCACCAGGAGCTCCTGGTCCCCGTTGAACTGCAGCTGCAGGCCCAGCTTGGTAGCAACCCGCACGTGGGAGCCACTCAGGGAAATGGTCACACCAGGGGCAGGAGAAGCAGGCAGGGAGGCCAGAGCACCATTGATCTGAATAAGGGGGAGAGAGGGAGACAGAAGCATGAAGAGGTGCCCTCCACTGAGAAGTCACTGTTCTTCACTGCGATGGTGCCAGGGCCCAGTGAGTCAGAAGCACTGATGGCATGAGAAACCCCGCCCAGGCCTGCGAGCATGAGAACAGCAGCGACTCTACACACGGCACACCGAAAGCTCAGGAAAACAAGCTGAAGATCTGTTGCTGCGCAAGCAGCCATATCTGCCCCGCTCAGAGCCTCACCGCGCTCTGCTGTGAGCACGCCAGCAGGCTCCGGGAATATCAGGCTCTTCTTGGGGACAGAGCGATACTTAATGGTGACACAACAGATACTCAGGGCATCTGTCGTTGCCAGGTGTAAAAATGAGGGTCTTACGTAGACCGCCTTGTTCTTGCGCAGTGCAATGTGGAGGCCTTCCATGGAGAGCGCCACGGAGTTCAGAGCTGTCCAGCTCTGGCTGCCGCGATGTTTGTTGCGGGTGGTGACACTGAACCCAACGGAGGAGTTGTCGCAGCCCGTCACCACGGTGTAGTTGCAGGAGCCCTGGAAGTGGTGAAGCTTCCCATCGAAGGTGCGGTAATGCGGGTCGCCATAGATGTGGCAGAGAGCAGTGCTGGCTGGGTAACAGCCCCTCTGGCCATCCTGGATCTTGCAGACCTCATCTTCACCACAGGACAATGCAGAGCAAACCATCTGGCCGTTGGCTTCACACCTGCACCGGCGAGTGCAGTTCTCGCTCACAGAGTACTCGCCCTCCTGCAAGCAGAGAAACACCGAACGTCAGCATATCAGGCAGGAAAGCAGAGGCAAGGGGGTGCCCTGGGAGGGGTGCAGGCCAGGGCAGGGTTCTCACTCACGCTGTAGTAGTTGCCCTCAAAGAGGCAGCCACAGTGGGCCTCGGGCACGCAGGTGTCTCCGCTGAGAAGGAAGCCAGAGGTACAGGCACAGCCCTCCACGCAGGGCTTGGAGCAGTTCTGCGGGGCTTGTCGGTCAACACAGGTGGCAGGACAGCCGGTCATGCAAGGGTCATAGTAGCTGTTGGCAGGGCACAGCAGGGCTGCAACGGGAAGGGGACAATTAGGACCAGCAAGCCTTCAAGGAAGGGGAAGACCAAAGACTTGCTTTGGCCAGAGGTTCTGGGCACAGGGAGTGGCACATTCCCCCTCCGGCAACTGCAAGGCAGGTACTCACGGCAGAAGGTGGCGTTCCTCCAGGGAGGAAGAGTCACGCCGGCTGCCTGGCATGCGTCAGCGTAGGCCTCCAGAGCAGCACACAGGAACTCCTGGCCACCATTCAGGGCACAAAGGTCATAGAAGCAGGTGTCAAAGTAGCTCTGGGGGTTGACCACAGCGTGGCACCTCTCAAAAGAGCCAGGCCTGGCAGTCAGCATGCCGCAGAACTGGTCCGATCGGTAGAGCTTCTCCTCTTCCTCACTGCAGGGTCTGGGGGCGACGGGGACACCGCAAGAGGAGTCATTGTCTGGGACCCGCCAGCTCTCCCCCAGCGCATTGGAGTCTGCCGCTTGCTGCCCGTTGGGCATCATGTAATCGTCCTCTCTCCGGTTGTTGAAGTTCCCGCACATGCCACAGGTCAGGTTGAAGTAGGCGGTGGGCACCTTCACCTCCACCGAGTGGTCAGCGTCGTAGGACACTCTGAGGCTGAAGTCTGTCTCCAGGACGACGTAGCGGCCGCTCCTGCTCACCGTGATGGCACCTCCTGCTGCGCTCACCGGCAAGGTCTGGCGCAGGTTGTTCACCTAGGGCGGACGCACCACAGTGGGCCCTGGACTTGGCTTCTGCCCCAGGGAGAACAGCTGCCAGGCCAGGCACGGCAAACCGGTGCCCGTGATGCCCTCGCACCCAGACGCCCCTGTGGCCTGCAGAGCCACGTCTGGGTTCTGCGCTCTGCAGGGTCCTTGCTACAACACGGGCCACATTCCCCATTTGCCTCTTCCTCCTCCACCCCCCGCCCCGGAAAGGAAAAACAAAGCAACCCAGCGGCTTCAGGGGAGCCCACCCGGGCCTGGGGCAATGGACATGCCTGGTACCCGCCAGGCCCTGACAAGAACAGCCAGCCCTGCTTTGCGGCCGCGCCACGCTCGTGCCAGCCCCACTGCCTACCAGCACTTGGCTCTTCTCCCTCTTGACAATGGCAATGCGCACGCCGTACACCTCAACCAGGACTTCGCGCACATAGGACACTCTGGTGTTCCCACGATGCTCGTTCTTGGCCTCAACGTTGAAGTAGGGCAGGGAGGTGGTGTTGGAGCACACTTTGGCCAGGGTGTAGGCGCAGTTGCCCATGAAG